GTGTACGAACACATGAAAAGAACTCAGGAGATGCTGTTCGCTGATTGGGCACAATAATACAAAGGTTTTTTTGTGCCCAATCAGGAGGTGGCATCCGTTTGAATTTTTGGAAATGGTTCGTTAAGAGTCGGTACCCAGGGGCTCTTTCGCCCGTACTTGAAAACTTTCGTCGCGCCTTTTCTCTCGACCCGACTGACTGCCCCTGGGTCTCCGAGGATGCCCTGGACCGAGAGCGGGACATTTAATCAAGATGGCGGCCTTGGCGGTTGTTAAAAGTTCTGTTGTAGGAGTGCTCAGTCTTCATAGTCTATCAGTAATTTTTGAGAAATCTTCTTCAAATGTGGGAATTAGAGGAGGAAGAGAGGATGAAGGAGTAGATGTGGAAATCCTATATAAATAACAGAACGTACGGTAAGATGTTTATCCCGCTGAATTGTACACGGCTACCGGTTCGCTGAATACAGGTTCGTTCGTTTCACTAAAACGGTGGTTTCTTACAAGAGGTGATCGAGCATAGAGGTTCGACGGTATTAGTATCAATCCATACAGTTATCAATTAGGATAGTACGTCAAGAATTATATACAAAGAAACCCAAACACTGTCATTTAAACTTGTTTGGCATCTTTCACGTGATTCAAATCACTACAGCTCTTAGGGTGCTTTCCAAAAGTCAGAACTGGCCAGCCGGACCATGGCCAGACCAGTCATTTCGACAATGAAATAGGCTTTTTCCAAGAGTTTTAGCTGAAAACCCATCTCCTTGATGCATAGTTTTTAGGATTTGATTGTTCTGACTGGATAATTTTGATTAAAAGTGAAATTCTCATTATGATGGTAATGTTCTAGCCAGTCAGACCTGACAAATGGAAAGCACCCTTAGTTGATTTCGGGAATTCGCTGCTTGTTTTAATGAAGCCTCTTTCAGGGATTTAATTAACACTGCCCTCCACTTGGTTAGCATTGTAGGCTTATGAGACCTCATGCATTTGGGTTTCTTGGTAATTTTCAGCATGCCCATAGGATTTGCATGGAAGTTCCACTGTCCTCCACCTGGGTAGCACTGTAGGCTTATGAGACCTCATGTACAGTGGAACCTCGATTTAACAAAGGGCCAAAGGACTGACAAAATTTGGTCGCTATAAAGAGGTTTCATTATATCAAGGTTCTTTTTCATATATTTTACTATTACTAGGGTAAAGAAAATCTTTCGTTATATCGAGGACTTCATTATATAGAGGTTCGTTAAATCAGGGTTCCACTATACTGTGTAGTATGAAAAAGTTAAAGAACTGCCAGTCCCAAACAGTGGTCACGGTCAGTTACAGGAGGTGGTCGTTTGTGCGAGGTTCCAACTGTAAGGCTTTGATTGAGAAAATTTTAGTGTTTTAGAGAAGTGGTTGCTTATTGGACTGGAGGTAGTCACTTGCAAGGGTTTGTCCCCGATGGGGTGTGGGGGGGGGGTTATTTCCTGGTAGTAGGCTGATGAATATGGAATATGTGCTGCTGGATGGGGTCGCATTTTCACGACTGGATTGACTATTATGGGGTTGCCTATTTATAAGAGTTACTAGAATGGGGTCGCAGATTTTCAGGATTTTGGGGGTCAGAAAATTCGGTAAGTAGGGATTTGGAAATAGAAAAATTTACACCACATTAAGTTTAACAAATTAATTTGTCAGTTCATTTTAGGATGACCAAGTTAAAAGGCTTTAAATACTATTCTTTCAAATATTTCCCCAATTCTGATTAGCTAAAAGCACACACATAATTCACCATAACCAGTTACTGATGACCAAATTTGGAAGAATTTTGTGTTTAACAAGCAGCCTTCTTGCAGGTTAATGCACTGTTTTAAAATCGAGAAGACCGGGGACGATGTTGAGTTGCTTTGGTTGTGAAAACAAAAATTATGTTGGACATTTCACTTGTTCCAAGAGTAAGAACTAGGCGAAATAGTAGCTAAAAACATGACAAGAACAGCAAGAAGACAAGTTGAAGGGTGATATTTGCTATTTGGAGAATATTTGCGCAGCTGAACAACCCTAAACGTGCACAATCGAAGATGAACTTAACATTGATCTGATCGATGGCAGTAAGCATGTTTTAGCTATGTTTTCAATCTAGGAATTATTTTGAATGAATATTAAAACAATTATTGAATTTGGCTTTTGTATCATATGAAGAATTATGGAGATCTCGGAGGGTGTTATCCACCTCGGCCTAAGGCCTCGATGGATAACACCCTCCTTGATGTCCATAATTCTTCATAAGATACTCAGTCTCATTCATTAATTGTTTATTATAATGTAGATGCATAAACAGAAAAATGGGGTTGTGAAAATTTCTTTTTGCCAAACTGACTAAGATGAGGTCTATAATAATTATGGCAACAGAAAAATTATAGACTATCATGAGGTAGGGGTTCTGAGGGGCCAGCGGTACATACCCAGCAAAAATTAACCCAAGTCCCAAGTAAACCCTCCCCGGGAGGGGGGGGCTGGTCACACAAGAAGGTTTGAATTACCTTGCTTACCTGGCCTCCCTCCCAAACCCCACATGCTGGGGGAGGGGGGTGACAGACTTGAACCAATACATGCATTTCATGGCTTTAACAAGACATAGTCAACATCCTCACAAGACACATCCATCACACATATCTATGAATAAATTATTTTATTTGAACTGATTTTTAATTATGTGCCTTAAATTTTTAATATGAAAATGCATCTGATATTCTCAACAGCAAATGGAGTTTCGCATGCGTCAACTGAATAAGTGAACAACGATATGGTCAAAATTTAAAAAAGAGAAAGATGAAAATTGAGCTGTTCTTCGCAAAAGACAAGGTGAGACATTTCTAGGATTATAATAATCTTGAAAGATGGTTAATTGTGACAAGTTCTAATAGCCTTACATGTAGAATCAAACACATTAGTACCCCTATATTTGAATACATTTCTTTTCCATATATTTGTATGGTACTAATAGGAAATCTTAGATGCCATTATTAATGCTTAACTTTGCATTGACCTTTACACATTTTCCCGTACTGGATTGAAGTGCTTTTTGCATAGCGTGACAGTGGAACCTCATCATAGCGAAGGGCTAAGGGACTGACGAAATATGTTTGCTATGACGAGATTTCGTTAAGGCGAGGTTCTTGTCCATATGTTGTACTCTTATTAGGGTGAAGAAATACTGCTTGTTACACCATGGACTTCGTTATATAGAGGTTCGTTATATCTTTGTTGCATTGCAGCTGCAATAATAATGCTCATTTCCCCGTGCTTTTATGCAGCTGCACATCCTTACCCTAAATTCTGATAGGCTGTTCAGTATTTTAGGTTGTCTATCATTAACAAAGAGTTTCTGGAAAATCTGGTTAGAAAATAAATGCAACAAGACCTTTCGGGTCATTTCAGAGGAAAATTTCCGTTTGAAACGGTAGTCCTGTTTTCCTGGTCGGAATGTTCCAAGCGGAAACTTGTGTTCCATTTCTTCAAAGCCATCCTTGATAACAGTTTCAGTCTTTCACGGCCGTTTTTCGGTAAATGGAACTGATTTGTGCAAATGGTCGACGCGATACCCGGACAAAATTTACCGGTACTAAATTTGGATCAATTGAGGTTTCTGGTTAACTGATGACCTACCCCTCCCCTAAGTCAAAATTAACACTTGCTTCTCATTAAGGGTAAAGTTGTGACTTGGGGGAGGGGTAGGTGGTGAGTTACGCAGAAACCTCAAATGATCCCTAAATTTGGTTTACCATTTTGCTCAAACCGTGAACAGATCGGTTTGCTCATGTAAAGGTAAACAACCTTAACTTTGACCTCACCTACCCCTCCCCTAAGTCAAAATTAACACTTGCTTCTCATTAAGGGCAAAGTTGTGACTTGGGGGTGGGGTAAGTGGTGAGTTACACAGAAACCTCAAATGATCCCCAAATTTGGCTTACCATTTTGCTCAAACCATGAACCAATCGGTTTGCTGATGTAAATGGTAAACAACCTTAAAGGAGCTGTGTCACGAAATTCAGCCAAAATGCCCCTTAAATTAAGAGAAACATAAAAATAACCGCTTAAAACATTAAAGGAAAGTTAAAATAACACAACAGATACAACAGCTGCATTGGATGGGCAAAACTGAAGAAGACTGAGACGGATTGAATTAAGGGTTTTTGAAAACTGTTCAGCCTAACAGTTTTTCAAAGTTTATCTCTGCTGTTTGCAACTTCAAAAATAATGCTCAGAAGACGTATTTGTTTGTCTCGAATATCTGATTTTGTCATTTCCATGTAATTTCTTTGTTTACTTTAAGTTCCGTAGCGATTTAGGGCGAGTAATTGGCAAAATTAAACAAAATGAACTGGACTGCCGTGACACAGCTCCTTTAACTTTGACACGTTTGCCCCGAAAGTCAGTAACCTGTTCCTACGAATCCTTAGTTTGTATCATGATAGGCTTTTTCTATTAGTTCAGGTTTGGTTGTTAGAGAAAATGTGATATTTTCAACAACAGAAACGATCTACAAATATATTACGCGGTACTCTAGAATTGCATTAAATTATGACAAAGACAAATAATTTCACGTCGACCAAAAAAAGTACCAACCAGCTGTTTGCGATATAACTCAGCTAATGATTCATCTCTCCATAGGCTGACCCCATGTTTCCGAAATAATAAAACTGTGTTATAAAAACCTCTAAACGCGATTGTTACAATTCTCATTTCGCATCTTTTAAAAGATGATGCTCATTATTCTTATATACAGTTTTCTCTGGTCTAAAATTAAAAACAAAACTCTTTGCGCTTGAAAGCAACTGAGCATATACTCTAAAACCTTTGCCAAGCCCATCCTTGTGCGTGACAATCGGACATCTTCGCTAAAACCCGCGCTTCGGCAATCTTCGCCTTGAACTCGGCACGGTCAGCTTCTCTCGCGAAGACGCTCCTTGTCGATTTGCCCAGATATACATAGCTTGATTTTAACAGCTCGTTCATTACATATGTGTCGGAGGATACGGTTGCTCGCCCGGTCTATTCATGTGCATATACGGCGATGACATATAGGAACAGTCAGCGGTTTGTCGATAATAAGGTGGGGGTCCCGGCGCAGGGGGAGGGTGTGGGGGAGGCATAAACACTGGGCCGGAATTGTTTGTCAGTACGGGAGGAGAGGGGTAATTTTGACCATGCGTCAGTGGTATTGACGATGAATTGTTCCACATGTTCCCGTTCATGTTCGCACTGCAGCTTGGGAGCTGGTATGGCGAAGGACTTGATTTTTTTGGTTCGTTGATTTTTGATGGAGAAGGAATTGGCCCTGGTGGAGATTTTTTTTCGAGTTTTCTTTTGTTTTCCGCTGCTTTGTCCAGTTGGCGACACTTGGCTCTTCTGTTTTTAAACCACACCTGAAACAAGACATTGCAAGAATCAGTGTAAATAAATGCTCCGTTGTTAGTCTCAAAGATTCCGCTGTTTATCTTCTTTGTATAACAATTTCTAAAATAAACGATTAGGAAGGAGACGTGAACAAGAGACCGATTCTTTCTTTCGGCGTTTCATACAGAAAAACAGGCAATTTTCCTCACGGTTTTTTTTATCAGGGCAGCATAAAAAACGCGTGCACAGAAAAGTACCTCGAACTTTCCATCAATCTCCCCAGCAGAGTCACATGACTTGGAAACTAGTCACCAGGGCCTTTTCATATTTAAAATCACCGCAAGAAAAGCCCTGGCCTTTTTACACAGGCAAATTTCTCCTGAAGACTTCATAGCCACGTTTTGGCGATTCTATTGCGTTTTACCAAACCTTTTTCTGCAGCAGTAGCTACAAATTTTTATTACGCATTTATTGTCAGGTGAAAATTTATTTTAACAGGTTCGAATCTGTGATTTGAAACCGCACAAAGAATTCCAACAAAAATAGTACGAAAAATCGAACAATAAGAAGTGAAGAAGATTAAGACTTGAAAATTTTTTATCGTGACAGTTTTTTTTTTATTTCATCCCAATTGTGGCTAACTTGAAAAAATGCTTTGAGGACGTATTTTCTTGTCAGGACGTCGTGATTTTGTGATTTATTTAATTTCTCAATCCTTAAAGCCCTAAGAGTGATATCACTGCTTTATAAAACACAGTGGTCATGAGAATTAAGGACATGATCACGCAAGATGAATCTATTTGATACTTCAACAAATTCCTTCCACAACTTCTATTGAAAACGTACAGCGACAACAAATGAGAATCTGAATTTTGATAAAGGGTAGTGTAGTAGTTCATTACATAACACTTTCTCTGTCCTATCTGTTACATATTGTGCCGCGTCTATGCTATTTTTAAATATCCTTTTTCTTTTTTTCGCTATAAACCGATCTATCTGTGGATCCAGCTGTCAATGAAACTTATCGCGTGTCCAAAATTTTTTATCCTTCACATCCTAATCGCATTTACTCATGGATATATCCTCAGTCTTTCATGGATAATCCCATCAAGCAGTCGTGCATTTTGCAGACCGGTGATACGGTAATTATCTCTCTACTTGTATCAACTTTAACATTTTATAACCGGGATTATGAAATCATTTCTATCAAATTCCTTTAGCGTCTTTATCTCATATCAGAATAGATTATTCATGTTTTATCATTCTTTTTTAATGGCTTCATACAATAAAAACTATTAAATAAATGAACCATTTATGCTTACTACATTTTCAGTTTATGTCAATCCTTTACCCCGGCTAAAAATGGCCAAAGTCCATTTTTTAAATCTAAATTTAAGTTTGTAAAAATACTGAAAAATAAATGGTCCCAATAAAAGTGCTGCTGAAGAGATTTTACTTGAATCACGCCACAGGATTTCATCCACAGACTCAAAAGCTAGAAGCACCTTGTACGGCATAATAAACAGCACCACGGGAAAGTACTGCTCAGTAGTTTTCATTTGAATGGTCACACATAAGGATTGTTTAAGTTGAAACTCAATCACGCGTCTATATAATAATTAATTGACTCTAAAAATTGAAGAGTTAATCTATTTTTTATGCAAACGTGAAGTAAGAACTTACTATCATGGCGATAACACACATTACAAGCCTCTCCTAAATAACAAGTCGTAGGAACCCAAAACCAATCTTTGAGAAAGAATTAGAATTGCGGTCACTGTTTTCCATATCACTTAGGGACAATAAACGGAGACGATATAAAAAGTGACGTTAACGCATGTTTTCGCTGAGCAGTTTTAAAAGCAGCATATTTTAGAAAAAGAAATTAATTCCTCGTATTTGCCAGCTGCGGACGCCTTGTTGAAGGTCCTAGCAGAGCTTGTCGTACCCAAAACATTATTTTATTGTCGCAAAAAAGCAGACAATTGGCGAAGCAAATTCTCAGAAGAAAGACTGTCTTTTTCTAGTGCAATTTGCTAATTTTCTAAACCCCCTCAGCTGTAGAGTATTTTGTGGAGATATGAAAATAATTGGTCTAACTTTTGATACTGTAAAAGAACTCAGTTGATGTGATCATGCAAATATCACCTCTTTGGCAGACCTTTCTCATAATACCATTTGTTTTGCACTACTTTGTAAAATGAGGCGAAATGGTTTAATACAACCTTCACAATAGATAGTCTTTCAAAGCAGTGTCTTTCCTTCCATGTGTTACTTTCTGTCGTCGATTGGATGTTATGTTTTCAAATACTTTTTTGATGTATAAAACCATAATATTTGACCTAATCCTACTGCAAAAATATGTAGTTTAACAATAACTTGGAGGTGAAACGACTGCAATATTTTAAAATAAGTAGCATGACCTACAAGCTGATCTATTCCGATTTCGATAGTTTACCGTACTTACAAGGCCTTTGCCAACGCAAAAACTGGCTCATACTCTGTAAAACCCTTCTTCAGCTTTGCCATGCACAGGAACGGTTTTACCACAGATCCACAAAACAAGCAATTTGATTCTGCACCGCAGACCTACTCTACTTCACTCATCAATAGCTTTTATTTAGATGATCATAACGTACTAATAGAATTAAGTCCAAATTAAATGCGCCCATTTCAACATCGTAAACCTTCACTCGAGGAAAATCGTCTCTAGTCTAATATGCTAGGTTTGCGTTATTCACTTATCAAGAGTAGAATGTTACATACTCAAACATGGTAACAAAGTTTACGAGAAAACTGAACAGGATGTACCATCTTAGAGGACTCGCCAAGCGATTTAAAGCGGTCGTAACTTCGGGTTTTATTTGCCACAGGCGCAAACACATCGTTGTGTACAATTAATGGGCGCGGAGACTTAAAGTGTGAATGATCTTGTAAAGCGTTTAATCACATTACTGCATGAAAGTACTGCTAAATTGATTTCATTTAAACTTTAAAATTATAGCAGTTTAGATTTTTTCACAGGCATTAAGTTCGATCCGCTTTGTACAGCATAATATACAGCACCACAGTAAAGTACTGCTCAGCCGTAGCTTTCGTTTGAACGGTCACACCATGGGATTTCATCCACAGCCTCAAAAGTTAGAACAATCCATCTTGACAGCATATTAAACACTGAATAGTACAGGAACAAACTTTTAACCTTCCGATTAAAATGTTATCGTCCCATTTTAGCAAAATAGGTGGCTCAGATTCTTCAAGAATTTTCTGAGGCCCTTTAACTCTTTGACCAAGATCAGGTGAGATGATTTGTCATTCTAACTTTAGAATCTCTGTGAAATCCTATGCTTTTATGTAATTCTTAGGATTTTACAAAAACAAATTTTGATTTTTGTGTGTGTGTATATTCAATTAGGCCACTGTCAGGAATGAAAGGCTCAACCATGCTCACAAGTTCAAAGTTAGATCCACTCCATTTAGTCACTATAGATTTTGAAGGATAGTCAAGACAAACCGACACTTTAGAAAAGAAATGTGTCCATAAGTGACTTTTATTTTAAGTACATTGGTGTCAGAAATACCTACGCGTGAATTCCCATTAAATAAGTCTGGGCTAGAAATTCTTCACTGTTATAATTAAATGTATAAAACTGGTCTAGCTTTCACATTCTTTTAAAGCACGGCGCGAACGAAAACCTAAAACGACTTTCACTCCACAAGTCAGACCTAGAAACGAGCGAGTTTTTTTTATTTTTGAGTTTATTGACGATCCTCTGGCTAAGTTTCTTTCCATAGTACTATCGGTTCTCGAGTACGTTACACATTGGAATTAAATAATTTCCTACATTCCTCATGGGCATGACAGAGTTAACTAAAAATGTTTTTCGTTTCGTATCCATGCTTTAGAGGAACAATATTTGGGGTTTAGTTTTGGAGAGAAATGCTTCTTTTCCTTTTTTCTGGTGTCGTGTCAAGATAAAGATGTCAAAATATGAATTTTATGAAGTGTTGTTACAATTTCGCAATTTTTGTTTATTATTTCGCAATCAAACAAGACAAACAAGAATTTGGTAAATATCTCTAGCCTTATATACGTGAATAGACGAAATCTTTCTCGGTAATTACTAAGTATAAGCTATTTAACAGTGCTCTTTCAAATTCATGTTTGGAATTTTTGGCTTCACTTGTGGCTTCATGTGGTCGTAACTCCTGATTTCCGTGACAAGACATCTCAGCTCAGACAGTCAGTCTGACTTTAGCCATCTTTGTTGAAACTAATCCTAGCTGTTAGATTACTTGTGATAAATTCGAAAGTTCCTGTTTCANTTCGCAATCAAACAAGACAAACAAGAATTTGGTAAATATCTCTAGCCTTATATACGTGAATAGACGAAATCTTTCTAGGTAATTACTAAGTATAAGCTATTTAACAGTGCTCTTTCAAATTCAAAGTTTGGAATTTTTGGCTTTACTTGTGGCTTCATGTGGTCGTAACTCCTGATTTCCGTGACAAGACATCTCAGCTCAGACAGTCAGTCTGACTTTAGCCATCTTTGTTGAAACTAATCCTAGCTGTTAGATTACTTGTGATAAATTCGAAAGTTCCTGTTTCAACTGTTTCCTAAAGCTAATTTAATTGAGGCTAAAATCGGACTCAATATCTACCGATAACACGACAGAATGTAAGGGAATATTTTATCTTAATATACGAACATAAAGATAACAGCCACTTTGAATAGTTTCTTTGGGTGTTTTTGTAGTTTGATTTAGGTCAGTTCTAAAGTAAAAAAAGACACAAGAAAGAAAGGCTCCCTATTCACGATCGCTGTTTAGCCCTTTCAGCGTGAGGTGGTTCTAACTTTTGAGTCTGTGGATGAAATCCTATGGTGTGACCATTCAAATGAAAGCTACTAAACGGTACTTTCCTGTGGTACTGTTTATTATGTTGTACAAGGTGGTTCTAACTTTTGAGTCTGTGGATGAAATCCTATGGTGTGACCATTCAAACGAAAGCTACTGAACAGTACTTTCCTGTGGTACTGTTTATTATGCGGTACACGGTGGTTCTAAGGTTTGAATCTGCGGATGAAATCCTATGATGTGACCATTCAAATGCAACCTCTTTTACAGTACTTTCACTTGGTACTATTTGTTTTTCAACATTTTACAAAATGAAATGTAGAAATTTGTTGAATTTTGACTTCGGCCAACTTCGGCATTGAAAGGATCAGGTGATATTCGCGTTTTTTTTTTTGTTATGTCACCATACTCAAAAAATATTCTCTTTCGATGTTGCACAAAAAAGACAGTCAAGCTTGTACATATATCATGACACTTTCACCCCGAGAGATAATTATGCAGACACGGAAGGTATTCTCTAACTTTTAAGTGTGTGGTCAAATTCCGTAAGTGTTAACATACAGCTTAGACGTCATCTGGAGCTCTTTCCCTCTGAGCCATTTTTTTTTTTTTTTTTCACAAAATTGGGAAATCTCCAGGGAATATCACGTAATTTGCAATGGGTATTCCATATCACACTTAGCGAATGAGGTCTTTTGATCCAATCCAGTACCGGAGATGGTCACTTAATCAATCTATTAAATTTTAGCTGATACAAAGAACAGGTCGAGGAAAGCACTCTTTTAGAGTCCAATCACCAGAGAGAGTACAGTAAATGATATTTATTTTTGAGTAGTTGGCTAAAAATATCGATGTGAATCATCAAATGTACCATGATTTGATGTATTGAGTTTCTGCTATGTGACTATGTTTCTTGCACGCTGCTGCACTATATCCGCAAAATTTCACTTCACTCGGATAGTGGGTGTGGCACTAAGAGTAAGGTTATCGGTCACTACAGAGTCTTTTTACCTGTTTAACCCTTTCACTTCTCATGGTGATAGTCTATCTCAAAAAATTCCAAATTTAATCTCGTTTTGAAAAACTGTGGATGAACAAGAGGTACCTTGCAAAAATACTGCTGATGAGTGTTTATTTGAATTGCCACACCCTACAATTTCGTCCACAGACGAAAAGGTTAGAACCGTTCTCTATAGCATAATAAATATAACCACCAGAAAATGCTGCTCAAAAGCTTTTATTTGAATGGTCACACCACAGGATTTCATCCACAGACTCAAAAGTTAGAACCACCTTGTATAGCATAATGAACAGTACCACGGGAAAGTACTGCTCAGTAGCTTTCATTTGAATGGTCACACCACAGGATTTCATCCACAGACTCAAAAGTTAGAACCGCCTTCTACAGCATAATAAACAGCACCACAGGAAAGTACTGCTCAGTAGCTTTCATTTGAATGGTCGCACCGTAGGATTTCATTCCACAGACTCAAAAGAACCACCTTCTGCAGCATAAAAAAAAGTACCACCGGAAACTTTTGCTCACTAGCTTTCATTTGAGTGGTCACACCATAGGATTTCGTCCACAGACTCAAAAGTTAACTAGAACAACTTTACATTTAACCATGATTCGCTGTAGGACTGAGACGGTAAAGGATTTTGAACAACACTGAAAACGGTGAAATCACGTTTTATCCACAGACTTAAACCTTACATGTACAATATAATGCAGATTCAGCGACTGGAACGAACTATTTAACAGCGAGTATTTGAGCCGCCACACTTGGAGTTATATATGGACTAAAAACCCATTAGCATAGGAAAGTACTGCCCCATATCTTTTCACTGGAACTAATATTCTTACACTTGGAACAACGTTCGAACATGAAACGATGGGAATCACTATCTTAGAGATGGGTTGTGAAGCCAAAACCTAATTGGCAGAAAATTTGGCAAAAGTTTGCTTGAATTTTTTTTAAAAAAAAGGTAATAAGATTTGAGAGTGTACCAGGCAGTACAAAGTCGGTTAAAGATCGTATGTGTATCGTTTTTGTAACCTCTTTTTCGGTCTTTAGATCTCAGTTGAAACACTCTCTGTCGTGTTTGGTGCATTTCTTCTCGGTGTTTAGATCTCAGCTGAAACACTCCTCGTGTTTGATGTATTAATGCTTGCTGTTTAGATATCAGATGAAACATTTCTTTTTGTGTTTGATGTACTATTTCCCGGGGTTTAAACATTAGTTAGATGAGACATATATCACTTCCCGCTATTTAAACATCAGATGAAACACTCCTTCTCGTGTTTGATATCACGGGTGATATGAGTTTAAACACTTCTTCTCTTATGTGATATTAATATTAGTTTTCAATGTGATATATTAGTTTTCAGTGTTTGAGCATTAGATAACAAAACCTCGAATCGTTTTTGACCTACTTAATCACACTTCTAGACTTTCTAGAAATTTCAGAGGTACATAACGTGCTCCTCAACCGTCGCCATTCAAATGGCATGAAATTATTCCATCGAAAACTGCAAATTTGCAGTCGTACGACATTTATCCCTAAGTGGTAATGAATTGATCGATCGATCGATCGTTTGATCAGGTTTTACAATCATCTAAAGATAAGACTTTTAATGAATGCTACAGATACAAATGGTTTCTGCTGATCCTCTCGCTAATCAGCTGTATATCGGTCTGCCTATCGAGACATAACTGTAAGATTGTAGTCATTGTGGATGGTCACTCCATGGGATTTTGTCCACAGACTTTAAGGACCCAAAACAAGGTAATATAAATTAGGCACTGGCAATTTCCATGCACAGCAAACTCGTTTATAGAGTAGCTGCAGTGCTCCGTTTTTCTGACTGAAAATTTGGACCGCTGTATTGAAAGTATTAGACCATGTGTAATATGCGTGTGACACATTTTAGTCACAAATCACGGGTGTGCAATTTCTTCTTTCTGGAATGGTGTCTGGAAGTGTAATTTTTTTCGAAAGGTTTTCTTGGATTTCTGCTTTCGGTCTTTCAATTTAGAAGGTGAAAGAAAAACTCGGATTCCTATTCCCGAGAAAATACACGTAAAAAAGACATTTTGGTAAAAAATATAATAAAAAAAATTAATTGATCACTTCATCGTTTTAATTTCCTCCACATGCAATGTACGTCGACAAGGTTGTTTGAGGATAGCGTTCGTATGCCTTGTAAAGTAAACTGATTCTTAGTTTTGTAATGATTAATTCTTTTATCGTACGCGACAGCTGTGAATTGTAGGGCTTCATAGATGGTTCGACTAGTACGTGTGTGAAAAGATGTATAATTATTTAGGCTTTATTTCACCTCAGATGACAAGAAGTAGGGCATTTGGTAGCATGATTTGTAGTGATATTTGGCATAAATACCACGAGTGATAATTCGAAATTGTTATACGTAATTTCAC